TCCCTATATTTCTTAATGGAAAATTCTTTTGGTATACGTCCTGTTTGGTATAAGTCCAAGGCCCTGGAATGGATTAAGGACATATACCAGGGTACCACTGTATACAGGTTGGCCATCACTAATCCGGCAATCAGTAATTCGGTTCCATCAGTAATCCGGCACTAATTTCAGCTAGCATGATTTCAAATTTCCGGGGTTGCCACACCAACCTGCTGCTATTGTTTGGTTTACCTGGAGTTTACCTGGAGAGAGTTCCGGGGGTCAACGCCCCCGCGGCCCGGTCTGAGACCAGGCACTACTTGCTGCATAAATCGTTCCAATTTTGTTTTCTCCATTTACTGTTATAACCTGCTTACTTTTAGCCCTAGTCATGTTCCAAGGAATAAAAGAAATGCTTCTCATTGTGTAAAGCACATACACTGTACATTGTCCATAAATGATAAGGTGGCTTTGAAGCCACTGTCAGTTGCCATGCACTCAGATAAGCTGTGACTGGTAAATTTGGGCTTACATATGAAAGAGTAGGTCTGTGTGGTAATTGTGCACTATATAAAAAAAAATTCTGCAGCACACAGTGCATAATGAGGAAAAAATTACGACCGTGGTGTAAAACAGTGATTTTGCAGTGTATTTTCATATGGTTGTTACGGTTGTATTCTCGTTTTTTTGGTCTCATTTGACAGAATGGAAGATACATTACAGAAATAGACCTGATACCTGGAAATTGAGCTCAAAGTTATGGAAACGTTCAATTTTTGCGAATGTTCAGGAGTAAACAATTGACGTCACCATCCACTACACGTCCAACTGGCCAGTCTAATGCACAGTCACAAATGGGTTGACATTATTTATACAATTATTACAATATTGCAGTAGTCTGCATAACAGTAAATCATCTGTTTTTTGTGTGAATAAAAAAATTCAAAATGGAAAGCAAGAGTAAAATAAGAGGGGTCTGGAGACATGACTAATGAACAGAGAAAATGTTATTTTAGTGCTAGGAATGTCTGCATTGTTTATTCTGGACCCTATTTTGAAATTGACATCTTTTGAAACTTGTGTGAAATTCGCCAAATTACTGATTTCTGATCACTTTATTGGGTAGTTAAAATAGGTGAATGAGGGGAAGGGGGTTCTTGTACTCAAGTGACAGAATAGAAGGAATACATGTACTAGCAAAATAGCTATGAGTTTGGTAGACTGGAACAATGGAATGGGCCAAATGGGTGAAATTTTCAGTGCTAAATATCACTGTTGGATTAAGTGTATTCTAGCCTAACCACTCTGTAATCCGGCACCCTACAGGTCCTGATGATGCCAGATTACTGATGTCCAACCTACACTACATGAATTCAGTAAGATTATGCAAGTTAGAAAGACCAGAGACAAGGTGAAGGAGCACAACTGGGAAATGAATAGGTGAGTACAAACAGAAAGCATGTCTGTTTTGCACTCAGTAGTATATGGAGAATCAAGCCTCCACCATGTCTTGTGCTGAATGACCCAAATGGGTTTAGCACTTAACCCTTTCACTGTTGGGACCTCTGATTCTAAACTCTTGCTGTCAAAAAATATTAAAAAAAAAAAAAAAAAAAAATTCTTACCAAAATCTTAAGAATATTTTGCGAGTGTTTTAACCCTTAAATGGTCCAAACGTATATATACGTTTTTTCAACATCTGAAAGTATGTAAAAAAATGTAGATCTTCTTTTTTGTTTTACATTTGAAAACGTGTAAAAAAAACTTATACTGTATCTACATTTTTTTTTGTTACATTTGAAAATATGTAAAAAAAAGTAGATCTACTTTTGTAGCACTACGAATTTGAACGTCGATTTGTTTGGACCGTTTAAGGGTTAAAAGAAAAATAATTTTTTTGGCGATCAGTACTTACCCTAATCTTGCCACCCTCAACACCATTGTTAATGAGGAGCTGATCAAAATATCGACTTGGATGACAGCCAATGAACTTATGCTTAACGTTGACAAAACCTACTACATTATGTTTGGTAGCAGAGCAGGAGATGTGCAAATTAACATTAAGATCAACAACACTCTAATTGCCAGGTATAATGAGGGCAAATTCCTAGGCCTATATCTCGACAACAACCTGAACTTCAGCACCCATATCCAACACATAACCAAAAAAAGTATCCAAAACGGTTGGGATCCTCTCCAAGATACGATACTACGTGCCGCAAACTGCCCTTCTCACACTATACCATTCACTTATATATCCATACCTCACCTATGCTATCTGTGCTTGGGGTTCAACTGCAGCAACACACCTAAAGCCAATAATAACCAACAAAAAGCCGCAGTAAGAATAATCACTAAATCCCATCCCTGGCAACACACCCCCCACTCTTCATAGATCTAAACTTACTCCCTGTTCAGTACATCCACACTTACTACTGTGCAATCTACATCTACAGGACCTTAAATTCCAGTATTAACCTTGACCTAAAATGCTTTCTTGATAGTTGTGACAGAACCCACAGGCACAACACCAGACACAAACATCTCTATGACATTCCCCGTGTCCGACTAAACCTTTACAAAAATTCAATGTATGTCAAAGGCCCTAAAATCTGGAACACCCTACCTGAAAATTCCAAAACTGCAGACACGTTCATCACCTTCAAAACTACCATTAGAAAACATCTTATCTCCCTGATACACCCTGTCAACTAATAATACGAATACCACCTGGTGGTTCACACTTCCACTCACTCACCCATTTGACCATAAACAGAAATATCAATCTCAATCTCAAAATAATGAATCTTAACTAGTCATAAGTTGGCCTGTGATACTCCAATACTGAAACTATGTATAGTGCCAAAACAAAAGCATTCACATTGCTAAACTCACAACTAGTATTTAGTCACTTAGCCATAATACCAACTTTCCTCATAATTTTGTAATATTTCAAACTTAAGATTTAATATAAGTTTGCCCGAAATGCCTAGCCATGCTAGGTGTTCTAGTGGTACACTCTGTAATTATTATTTTACTACATGTAAACCACACAATAACCAAATTCTGTAAACTCAGCATTGTAATCCTTATAGAGAATAAAATTTGAATTTGAATATAGAAATGAGAAGTTGACAGAATGTGAACCGCTTATGGCAACATTGGCGACTGCTACTCACTTGGTAATATGTATTATTTTTACTTTTATTTGATTTTTTTCTTTTCTAATATTTTTTCAAGTAACTTTTGTGGCATAATGTACAGTGGACCCTCAGTAATTGCCCGTAATCCATTCCAGAAGGTCAGCCTAAATCCAAAAAGCCCAAAAACCGAAATAATATTTCCCATGAGAATTAATGTAAATCCAATTAATCCTTTTTCAGACATAAAAAATATTAACAAAAATACTTTTAAAGAGTAAAAATGAAAAAATAAATAAAGAAAAAATTTTAATGATAAACATTACATACCTTTACTGAAGACTCTTGTTGGCATATTGAAGAAGGCAGAAGGGGAGAGGGAGATGGAAATCCTCATCTCTCTCTTCCCTCTGTGTAGTGTAGTCTCCCCCCCCCCCCTGGGCTACACTACACAGCCATATTATTACCATGTTCACTGAGTTTAATCATTTCTAACAACTTCCTTTAGATGCCATCATAAACAAAGGGGGAAAATGAATAAATTTGTGCCGGGGAATTGTAAACAAAGCATGTGAAGGGGAGTTACTGGGGAAGTGCCAAATTTACAGTTTTCTTAATGCTGAACCCGAGAAAACTATTGTTTTCTCTTCCACCGATGATATAAACATTGGGGTTTATATGCTATATGCTGTGTAATGTGTATCTTATATAATTTTGAAGAAAATATCATAGATGGATTAATGAAAATGTCTATACTATTAACCTAAAATAAGACATTTAATGTGGTCAAAAGTGATTTATTATGCGTCCCGTACAGCCGATCTCCGAAATAATGGCCAATATCCGGCATAGAATTTCGGCCAAAAAAGCAAGCGAAAACCAAATTGGCCGATATCTGGAATGGCCAATAACCAAGGGTCCGTTGTATATATATCCACTCGATATATGCAACACAATAACTGCACAAACATTATCATTATATTATTGACAAAACATGTTTACACAAACCCATGCTGCCTTCCTCACTACCCACACTGTCTTCCCCACCACCCATGCCATCTTCCCCACAACCCACATGGAAAAAAGTCTCTTTATCTGACTTTTTTTTGGGTTATCCTAGGTAATCTGCATATATGCTGCTATGTTTACACAAACCCACACTGCCTTCCCCACCACCAGTGCTGCCTTCCCCACATCCCACATGGAAAAAAGTCACTTTGTCTGACTTTTTTGGTGGAAGGTTGATAATTGTCTGGATTTTCAGCACTAGTTCTGGTATCCTGGGCATTGCTTTCTGTCAAAAACTCTTCAAAACCATAAGATTCATCTTCACTGACACTTCAATCTGTGTTAGAACTATGACTTGGGAAGGGAAGAATCCCAGTTTGCTGGAGAGTGAGGTATTCCTTACCACTTGGCTTGGTGTCCAAGGTGTACTGAATTAGCACTCTCACAGTGCTCTGAGGCCTCCCCGATTTTTTTTTTATACTGAGCACACTGAGCACACAGACTCATTCTCTCACATGTAGGTCTACCAGCTTTCTCCTCCTAGATTTGAAGCCGCTAGAATTTTGGCATATTAAGATGTCGCCAACACTGGCTTGTAAGCTATACCTATACAGCACTGACAGTGAAAGGGTTAATATGAAAAAAAAAAAATTATCTTGAGAAATCAATAGAGGTTACATATGAAACCCAAGAGAAATGGAAAATAATAAGATATTTTTAGAATTATAGTGTTTTCATTAATATTTTTTAAAACTTTCATCTGAAAATGTTTAATAATCATACTTTCAACTTAAATTTAGTGAATAAAATCAATCTTTGATTATTATTTTATACATTAATTCACAGCAGTTTTCCCATGTACACTGTACTTACCACTGTCATGGGGAGAATGTTTTGTAGGAGGGATGTCATAGTCCATCTGCGAGGCCTGTTGATTGTGTGTCAGTGGACGAGGTGTATCATATGTATAAACATCTCCTACTCGACGTGGTGTTACAACCTGCAGGAAGGAACAAATTAATAACATATTTTGACTTCCTGAAATTGAATATGACACATGTGTGGGAAACAAGGGGGCTGCAGTGCTAGGGATGATGGAACAAGAATTGCCAAAATATGTTAGGAACACAGATAATGCTAAAAACAATGGGACTAATCTACAGGCAAAGAGACGAGATAGAAGTGAGACAAAAGCTTTCTTAACGTATACTATTCAAACAGCCAGAGCACAAGAAATAGACAAACTAAGACTAATTGTATGTGGAAGAAAGATATTATTGCAATAATTAATACATGCCTGTTGAATGTAACATTCAAGGGTATAAATTATTCTAAAATGATTATAAGCAAGAAAGAGGGTAGAACTGCTCTATATGTTAGGGAAAATTTAAACAGTGTCATCAGAAACAACATAGAGGCAGAAGGGATGAAAATTTGACAAGAAATCTAGAGTCTATTGACGTAGAAATAATCCAGAATCGTTTTCTAAATCATTGTGAGAATCACTAGAAGAAATAACCTGCTTTATTTTTAAGGTACCCAATTTTTGCAATGCAGATTATAAGGACCTAAAGGATTACCTATGTATTGTGAACTGGAGTAATCTGATTAGAGATAATCATGAGGAAGGCCAGAAGGATGTCAATAAGACTACCAAAGCATTGTAACAAGCCATTCTAGCTGCATATATTCCTAGAGAAATTTAATGAAATATAAGAGATCCTAAATGACTGAACAGCAGGCTGAAACATATTTTAGGTAAAGAGATATTTATAGGTGAATTGAAAGAGAAGGGGGGGGCACCTTACTGGCATTTCACCTTACGGTGTTCTGCTAATGTGACGATTTCAAATATGACCAAAGCTCTCTATGGTGAGCAGTCTTCCTAATATGGCGGGCCCCACCCGGTTTGTTAACATTCTTCATGAGCACATCTCTATTATGTCTGGATACTTTCCAAAATTTCAAGTGTTTTAAATTTATTGCATATTTTATATGTACAGCCTCTCCTCACTTAGCCACGTACTCATTTACCGACGACTCAGACTTACGGTGGGTTCTCTGACCAGTATGCATACCTAAACAATGTATGTTAGAGCTGATTTCCTGTGTTGTGTTTATTTAAAAATAGATCAGAAATGTTATAAATGGTGCAAAGGTGACATTAAAACAATACCAAAGATGGTTGACACAAACCCACTACCATTATAGTATGCTTCTCACTTAGCGACGAATTCGTTTACCAACGAGGTCTTCAGAACGGAACTCCATCGTTAAGTGAGGAGAGGCTGTATTCTGATAATAATACTTATGCATACCTGTACCTAAATATACTTACACACTGTGCTGGCATGCAGGTACACATTAAATCACTAAGAATGTCCCTCTAGTCTTAATGTCATAGTAATACTAATAGTATGTAATAATAATCACTCTTGGGCATATTAAATATCTTATTTTACATTAATATAGACATTTTCATTAATCCATCTGTGGTTGCCAGGCAGAGGGAAAATGTTTCGTTTTCTTTGGTCCAGCATCAGAGAAAACATGTATGAATCTGCGTTGGTCCCAGTCACTCCCCTTCACATTCCGTTTTTGTTTACAATTCTCAGCGTGAATTATTCATTACTTCTCCCTTTGTTTATGATGGCATTTAAAGGTAGCTGTTAGAAACGAATAAAAACTCGGTGAACAAGGTGTGCAATGGTAATAATATGGCTCTGGGCTGCATTAAATATCATATAGCTATGTAGGTAGGTGTAGCCCAGGTGGGCTACATCTACTGGCTACCTACACCTGACTTCCTATAAATAAATACTACTCACCTCTCATTCTACATTAAAACTACACATATTTTAAGGTAAATATTGAGTGTACTGTATGTGTATTTTATCTCTCTGGACTGCTTTAATCCCTTGACTGTCGCAACCCCAAATCCTGAGGTGTCTCCTGGTGTCACAAAATTTAAAAAAAAAAAAAAAAATCTATGAAATTATAGAGAATCTTTTCCCAATTGTAATGACACCAAAAGAACGAAATTTGATGGAAATCTGACGGAATTACACTCCTGCGAAGTTAGCGACCTCGGCGATATTTACAAATCGGCAATTTCGCCCACCTTAAGCCCTATTTTTGGCTAATTCCATTATTCCAGTCGACCAAACTCATAGCTATTTCTTTAGAACTCCATTTTTTTCTATCAGTTGAGTACAAGAAACTGCCCATTTACTGATTTCAACTACCCAATAATGTGGTCAGAAGTTTGCAATTTGGCCAATTTCACGAAAATTAAAAGCTCTGCCATTTTCAAAATAGGGTCCAGAATGAACAATGCAGACATCCCTGGCTCTAAAATGACATTTTCTTTGTTCATTAGTCACGTCTCCAGGCCCCTCTGATATTACTCTTGCTTTCTATTTTGAATTTTTATCCAAACAAAAAAATAGATTTACTGTTATGCAGACTACTGCAATATTTTAATAATTGTATAAATAATGCCAACCTATTCATGACTGCATATTAGAATGGCTACTCGGACAATTATTGGAAAATGAAATCATTTGTTTACTTTTGAACATTGGCAAAAATCAAATATTTCCCCTACTTTGAGCTTCATTTCAAGGTTCTTTTCATAGTAAAACCAATCAAAATCACCTCTATTTCTATAATATGTTTTCCATTCTATGAAATGAGACAAAGAAAACGAGAATACAACCATAAATACATATGAAAATAGACCACAAAGTCTGCATTTTAATTAAAAAAGAAAACGGTCAGTTTTTTTTTTCTCATGCACTGTGTGCTGCAGGATTTTTTTTATTGGTGCACACTGACCACACAGACCCATTCTCTCACATGTGGGCCTACCAGCTTTCTCCTGCTTGATTTGAAGCCGCAAGAATTTGAGTTTAAATATGTTTGAAACAGTGGCGCGTAAGACGTATATATACAACCAAAACAGTCAAAGGGTTAAAGAGGAACATAAAAAGTCCAAGGACTGGGGCTAAATTTTATTGTGGCTCAGTTATAGTGGTAATAAGTTTCTTGCAATGGTCCTAGTGAATAATAACAAAATTAACAATAACAGTGTAACTTAGAAATAAGCTAATAATGGTACTCTTAAAGCAGAGACATAGACATGTAAATTCCTGCTAAGGAGTACCCTGATACTAGTAAATGGCTTTTGTTCAAAGAAATTAGAGGTCCCCCCCCCCTTCCATCCCCTATCAAACCTTATTATCTTCCATTCCCAGGGGTTGTAAGATCCCTACATGTTTGCCATTCCCCCTCCCATCAAAATAATAATACTGTACTATAAATGTGAGTACAGCTTAGACAAGATGTCTAAAACTTCTCTCACTTTGACCAGGAAAATATAAACATAAGCATAAATAAAATATATGCAGACCTTGTTGGAGAGTGGTCGTTGTGTCCTTGGAGCTGGGCTTGTTGCACCAAGACGAACAGTTGGGCTGGTGGTGATAACAGTTGTGGCAGGACTGTGTGCAGATGTAAGGGCAGCAATGGATGTAACACCAGCACCAGTGTCATAAATCCCAGGAACAATCCTCAAACGGTTGCCAGGACAGATACCCTGTGGAACAATGTGTGTTGAAATTGAGTGTATATTGCAACAGTAAGGGTGGCATTACTTCACTACCTTATATTACCAGCCATAAGTTGATCTGGCCAATGAAATGAGAAGTGTACATTCACTCCCAAAAATCATATTCCTACAGATGAGATTTTATCAGTTGTTTCCTGCATCAGCATTCTCACGCAGTTTACACATTCTCTGCTTTCTTCTAAATTATCTGGGAACTAGGGGTAATGTTGATGAATAAATTGCTTATCACACCACGAAGCCTGGTAATGGACCAGGACGTGGGGACACTGATCCCTTGGAGCACCCTCCAGATATACTCCAGGAGTCACAGGATGAAGTTGTCACTTGTGAGTATCTCATCCAGTGACTTGTTACCTAACTTAGCTTCCTACTTTACAGTATCAATGCAACCCTCCAATAATATTCACCATTTCAGTTTCATTTATAAACTTCTTCAGCCTAATAACAATGCAAACTTTTCATTGAACAAAATACACTGGCATTGAAATTTTTAATCCAATCAGAGCAGGCAGTCCCCAGTTATACATAAACCAATAAGCCTCACACTTTTAATTGTTAAAAAATTACAAATTGTGACCTACACACCCTAAAACTGCAAACTATGATCAGTCTTTAAAGTTTGAAGCTGTTGAGTAGAGGCATTCTCAAGTTATGCAGATAAGATATTCATGTGTTGTATGACCCTTAGGGTTTAGTGCTTAATTTCATTATAATAATGATGTATGTGTGACCTATTTTGAGGTCTTTTTTTAACACCACTCTTGCTGGTAATCACAGCCTGGTTGACCTGTTACTTAGCAGAGGCAGCTATCTACTGTAGTTTCTTCTTATGAACCACTTTTATTTTAAATAAAATTGGTAAATTAGCACCTACACAGTCACCTCCAGAGGTGTGCAAGAAAAAATGTAAAGGCAGAACCTTTTCACCTTAAATTAGTACAATCCAGCAGAGTAAGAAAATGACAGACGTGCTTCATGAAGAGTGGTATTAAATCAAGTTTGAGTAACAATGGTGATGAAGGATGCACAGACTCCATCATAGTTTAGAAGGAAGGGGGTGCATGGCTTAAAACATTTGAAAACCCCTCAGATACTATCTCTCACCATACTACAAGAATGTTCTTGACAGCAGGGTTGTGAGATAACATGTCATCCAGAAATCAGATGACAATTCAACACCATCATCCAATAGTATACCTCAGTGCTCTGCCAACATAAGAACATAAGGATGGAGGAACACTGCAGAAGGCCTACTGGCCCCATACAAGGCAGGTCCTTATCGAAACTACCTCTACCCAAAGCTACCTAAGAATTAACTCCCGTACCCAATGACACCAATCAAACCCAGCCCCTCCCACTCGTATATTTGTTCAATCTCTTTTTAAAGCTACCCAAGGTCCTAGCCTCTATGACCCTACTGCTGTATAGCCCTTGTGGCTTAGCGCTTCTTTTTTGATTATTATAATAATAATAATAATATGACCCTACTGGGAAGATTGTTCCATGCATCCACAACCCTGTTAGAAAACCAGTACTTGCCTATGTCCTTTTTAAATCTAATTTTTTTTTCTCAACAAACCGGCCATATCCCACCAAGGCAGGGTGGCCCAAAAAGAAAAACGAAAGTTTCTCTTTTTAAATTTAGTAATTTATATGGAGAAGGGGGTTACTAGCCCCTTGCTCCCGGCATTTTAGTCGCCTCTTACAACACGCATGGCTTACGGAGGAAGAATTCTGTTCCACTTCCCCATGGAGATAAGAGGAAATAAACAAGAACAAGAACTAGAAAGAAAATAGAAGAAAACCCAGAGGGATGTGTATATATGTACATGTACACCTACCATCCGACTTACGACCGTGTTTTTTATGCCAAATTTCTGGGAAATAAACAACTATTTGTGTTGTACACAGTGTTTATCCTAAACCTTACAGTATAAAATACAGTACTAACAACATAAAAAGTAAAATAAAACATGAAATACCAAAATAAAACAATAAAATATTCATTAAAAAAATGTTTTGTTGATATTCAGTAGTAAAGTTTGACTTACGACCATTTCGACTTACAACCGGTTTCTCGGTTGTAAGTCGGATGGTAGGTGTATATGCTTGTACATGTATGTGTAGTGTGGCCTAAGTGTAAGTAGAAGTAGCAAGACGTACCTGAAATCTTGCATGCTTGAGACAGAAAAAAGGACACCACAATTCTACCATCATGTAAAACAATTACAGGCTTTCGTTTTACACTCACTTGGCAGGACGGTAGTACCTCCCTGGGCAGTTGCTGTCTACCAACCTACTACCTAGAAAACCTAAATTTATCCAACTTAAATCCATTATTTCTGGTTCTTACTTGGTTCTACACCCTCAGTACTTTATTAATATCTCCTTTGTTTATGCCCGTCATCAACTTATACACTTCAATGATATCTCCCCTCATTCTATGTCCCTCCAGAGAGTGGAGATTTAAGGCTTTAATTAAGTCTATCTTCATACGGGAGATTCCTTACAGAGTAAATCATTTTAGTCATTCTTCTCTGTATGTTCTCCAATGAGTATATCCATCCTGTAGTAAGGAGACCAAAACTGAGCAGCATAAACTAAATGAGGCCTCACTAGTGATGTATAGAGCTTTAAGATAACTTTTGGACTTTTGTTACTAATACTTCTTGAGATAAATCCAAGTAATTTGTTAGCCTTGTTGTGCACACTTAGGCACTGCTGTCTTGGCTTTAGATTTCTGCTTACCATGACTCCCAAGTCTTTTTCACATTCTGTATGATCAAGCTACTTCACCTAGTTTATAGCTTTGAGGGTTATTTTCATTACCAAGGACTAGTACCATACACTTATCCACATTGAACTTCATCTGCCATTTTTCAGACCAAGACATTAATTTGTCCAAATCCTCCTGGGGTTCATTGCTATTCTCAGAATGAATCATATGGCCTATCTTTGTATCATCAGCAAATTTGCTCATGTCACTCATAATCCCTTCATTAAGGTCATTAATGTAAATTATGAACAAGAGAGGGCCCAAAACTGATCCTTGTGGAATGCCACTAGTGACTAATCCCCATGCAGATTTGACCCCATCAATCGAAACTCTCTGCTTTCTATTGGTAAGCCATGCCTCTATCCATGCTAGAACTTTACCTCCTATACCATGAGCTGCCACTTTTCTTAAGAGTCTCTTGTGAGGTACTCTATCGAAGGCTTTACTAAAGTCCAAATAAACAATATCATATTCTTTATCACTGTCAACTGCCTCAAATGTTCTATTGAAGAACATCAGTAAAGTTGTCAGGCAGGAACGACCTCTTGTGAACCCATGCTGAGATTCATTTACCAGGTTATGCTCTTCAAGCTGACTTCTAATAATGTCAATTATAATTGATTCTAGTAACTTGCCCACTATTGATGTCAAGCTTATTGGACGGTAATTTGAAGGAACGGACTTATCCCCTGATTTGAATATAGGAACCACATTAGCCAGCTTCCACAACTCTGGCACAACACCAGTAAGGATGGACACATTAAACACACTCGTTAAGCACCCTGGAAAACAACTTGTCAGGCCCCAGGGACTTATTTTGCTTTAGTTTGTCTATCTGTTTGATAAACATGTCCCTCTTGACAGTAATATTAGTTAATTTGAATTCATCAGGAACTGAATACTTATTAATTTCTGGAATCTCATTTATGTCTTCCAGTGTAAAACCTGACAAAAAAAAAAGTCATTAAATAAAGAACATATTTCCACTTCGTTATCCGTCAGCTGTCCACTCCCAATTTTCAGAGGTCCTACTTTTCCTTCACCTTCGTCCTGTACACTTGAAAGAAGCCCTTTGGATTGATCTTTGAATCATTAGCAACTCTAATTTCAAAGTCAGGTTTAGCCTTTCTAATCCCCTTTTTTACTTCTCTTTTAAGCTGAACATATTGGTCAGTAAGGTTAACCTCTCCTCTTCTGATGCACCTATAAATTCCTCTTTTCTCCCCTAATATACATGCTTTAGCCTCCTGTTAACCCATTTGGGATAGTTATTATTAGACCTAATTTCTCTCTGGGGAATGTATATACTCTGAGCACGGTGTACATTATTAAGAAAAAAAATCATAAATGCAGATCCCAAGATTCCTCGCACACTAATGGTCTCAGTCGTGCCACCTCTTCCAGGAGAAGATAAGATTTTGTTCAGATTTTTAATCCGGAGGGTTAGCCACTTGGGATAACTCAAAGTCGATGCATCATCGAGGACTGTCTTATTTCCATTAGTCCTTCAATATTATCCCCCAGATGTGACCCACACTAGTCAAGCAACATCCAGGTACCTACTTCCTTGCTAGGTGAACGGGACAGCAGGTGTAAGAAAACACACCCAAGTTTCCACTGAGCTGGGTTATTGAACCACAGACCCTCAGTGTATGAGGCGAGAGCATTGCCTACCAGGCCACAGGACACTGTACGAGCATTTTGTATCATCAATATAGAACTTTTATTTTGCAAAGCTGGGTTGTGGTGTCTATAATGAACTGTGTGCTGTTAGCACCAGCTGCCTGGTTGAGAAGGCCATTAACCAAAAGATCTGGTCTGATACCAGTGTCCCATATCTCAATTGCTAGTGCACTCAGCTCACACACTGAGGTCCAGGGGTCGATCTCCTGAACGCGTGGAAACATTAGGATAAGTTTCTTTAAGGCACCTGCTGTCCATGTTCACCTGTTAGTAAAACCTGGGTGTTAGTCGACTGGTGTGGGTTGCATCCTGCAGATAAAATTGCCCGAAATGTTCTGCATAACAAGGGGGCTTTCTATATGCCTAGGCTTGTATACCTTGTACATGTACTTGTAGAAATAGATTATTATTATATTATTATTATTATTATTATTATTATTATTATTAAGGAATGAAGACCAAAATGAAATCATGTTTAAGAAAAATCATATCGAAAGTATGGAAATTA